CCTTAAAAAGGCGGTTCATGCTCGAAAACCCTCCAATGTGGCTGAATTACAACAATTCTGCAAAGATGAGTGGGCCAAAATTCCTCTACAGCGCTGTAAAAGACTCATTGCCAGTTATCGCAAACGCTTGATTGCAGTTGTTGCTGCTAAGGGTGGCCCAACCAGTTATTGGGTTTAGGGGGCAATCACTTTTTCACACAGGGCCATGTAGGTTTGGATTTTTTTCCCCCCTTAATAATAAAAACCTTCATTTAAAAACTGCATTTTGTGTTTACTTGTGTTATCTTTGTCTAATATTTAAATTTGTTTGATGATCTGAAACATTTAAGTGTGACAAACATGCAAAAAGATAAGAAATCAGGAAGGGGGCAAACACTTTTTCACACAACTGTATACAATTTGGGAAAATATATTTTCATGTTGGTTTTTAAAAACCCACCTTTAGACTTAAGCAGTGATTGAAATTAACTACATTTACTCAAATACTGTACGATTTAGAGATAACTCTACTGTTACTTGGGTTTTATTTTTATCATTGCTCCTAGTTCTCTTATATTGTACTTTCTTCTACAGATGTTTGAAAAACCAACAATATATAAAGTGGCTAAAATTCACTCAATCTCAACACACTGCTAAATTGATATTATACTTTGTTAGTTATAAAAAATCATATATAAAACAATGCAGTAACACAAAGGTCCTTTATGCATAATTAATTAATCAAGTAATTCTTTCTAACAATATTTAGGCTAAGAATATAATTAAATATGTTTTATTTTTTTTTTTACTTGTAAATCAGTATGTTTGTATATTAATATTACTTGCAACTGAGTATGTTTACATTGTAGTATCTGTTTATATTGAAGTAATGGTCGCTTTCATATAGTTATATTATATTGGAATATTAATACTGATTCTTTAACACTCAGCAGCATTTTAGTATCACAACTGTTTGAGGTGGAGCACATGTGTAACTACATTATTACTGATAGTTAAATGTATAATGCAGTATCATATTTTATAAATGTTTTGTCATATAAATGTAATGGATTAAAAAGTACACTATATCTCTCTGAAATGTAGTGGAAGTATAGGGTGACATGAAACTTAAATACTCAAGTAAAGTAAAAGTATAGAGTAAATGCACTGGTGGGTGTGCTTTATGACCACTGGGAACCGTTTTATTGCCTTAAAGTAATTGTTTTATTTGCATTGTGTGTCGTATCAACCATAAACTGAGCATAAAGGGGTCCGTATTGAAACTGGACCTTGATATATATTCATGTGTCGCGGTTTCCTTGATCACACCGTGTAAACAATGGACGCATTGTCTCGATTAAAGTAATTGTGTGACTTGAAAGATGGGCACGCGGTGTTCGCGCCAGATCGCTGCCGCTTACTCCACGGATGACGTAACGCCTCCTTCTGGAACGCCCTTCTTTCAAAAAATCCGAGACGCGCTCTGATTGGCTGCGCGGGGGCCATGTGACTAACGGTCGCGGGAAGTCCTTCTGCCACGCGCGTTGATAGGAAAGGCTCATTCAAACTTTTTGTGTGTTGTAAACATTAGTGTGGGTTTTATTGCGTGGTAAGACGTGTACCGTCGTGGGTGAGCCATCGAGAGGTTAGTGACGGATACCGATACTCGACCGGACCGAGTAGTGCATGTGTTTGTTCTTTATTTTGTGTTTTAACACCGTCTTCGGGACGTTGTTCCTCTTCGCTACTCTGGGGCCATTGCTCCGTGTTGGATGGGCGTGTTGGAGGAGTTCGCACACGTTAACGTTTCCTGGGATGGTAACTGACCTTTAAGCGACTCACGGTACTTTTTTGGACACTTGTACCGATACCTTTTTAACTTTAAGGTAGTTAGAAGTTTACTAGCTTCGTGTTGTTTTTCTTATTTTAGCGAGAATCGTCACTGCTAACAGTAGTGGGGGTTCAACCACGTGATTTTTTTTTATTTTTCCCCGTCGACGACGACCCCGGGTGTTTTAAAATCCTTACAAAAATGTCGAGCTGCGGTCGACATGGGCACGGATCTCCTCCTAAAGCTCCGGTAATAATTCGGCAGAAGTTACAGTTCACGTGTAGCGACGGAGAGGACGAGCCCATCGAGGACGTCAACAACAGCACCGGAGGAGAGTCCGGCTTCACGGAGATGGACTCCCCGATGCCAGTGCGACGGGACACGGTCGACAACGGTAACAGCAGCCCGCTGAACCAGTCCGACGTGGAGCTGTGGGACGAGGAGAGCTTCGGTTCTCCGTCTCACCTGCTGCGGTCACCGAGCAGCGTCGTCTTCGCCAACTGCTCGCCGTCGCCGCGGAAGGCTCTCTCTTCTCGGCTGTACGGAGCAGGAGGGTCATCACCGGAGCGGTCTTTCGTGCAGGACGACGGGGACGGATCCAGCTCTCCGATCCCAGACTGTCCCGACACACCTCCGCACAAAACCTTCAGAAAACTCAGACTTTTTGACACACCGCACACACCAAAGGTTGGTATTTGTTGATAATAGAAGTACATCGATGTTAAGTGTTTATTAGAGAACATTGGCCTTCTTTTTACATGGGTTAAAGTTTGGTATCTGCTTGCAAAAACACGCCCACACAACATTTTACAGTACTTTTTTTTTCTTTTTTTTTTTTCTAGATCTCTACAATCATATTTTGGGCTTTTGCACATTTATTTTGCTGCTTTTGGATTTTGTCACTTGTTTATTTGGGAAGAAACAAGTAACACCGATACTATATCGATGTTAAGTGTGTATTGGAGAACATTAGCCTTCTTTTTGCATCGGTTAAAATTCGGTATCGCCTTGCAAAAACACGTCCACACAATATTTACAGTACTTTTTTTCTTCTAAATGTCTACAATCATATTTTGGGCTTTTTTGCACATTTATTGCTTTTTGAGTTATCACTCTTTTAAATTGGGAAGACAATCGGAAAAAAACAAGCAACACCAAGCTTAAGTAAACACCAGGTCGGTTTTTAGAGCTCAGTTAACCAGGTTGACCCACTTAATGCTCCACTGTACTGTTGCGTAATGCTCCACTGTAACAGGCTGTCGACCAGCCAAATGATTCAGGGATCTGAAGTTGTATGTCTGGACATGTTTGTTTTTCTGAATCCTAGATTACACAGCAAGTTTAGATACAGTACTTTATTTCAGAACTACACTCCCCTTTTTGTGTAATTACTCTTTTATGCAGTAGATATTCTGCTTTTAAATCTTCTAAAAGTAATTAACAACGCACTAAATCTGTCTTTTTATTTTTGTCCCTCAGAGCTTGCTGTCCAGAGCCAGGGCCTCCGGCTCGGGATCCTCCAGCAGGAGAGTTGCCCTGTTCAAGAATGTGGACCCTTCAGGAAAGTCACTCACAGACACCAGCAGGAGACAGCAGACCCCCCTGGTCAACTTTAACCCCTTCACACCCGACTCCCTCCTCATCCAGTCTGCCACACAGCAGAGAAGCAGGAAGCGAGCACACTGGAATGAGTGAGTTTTTCCTGTCTTGTTAGAAATACCCTTCTGTCTTTAGAGAGGGACCAATCCCAAGAATCTGTTGTACCTAAAACACCTGCAGATTGTTGTACTTGTCCAAAACAGCCGAGGGGGGGAGGTGACAAACTGTAGTCAATATTTTGGTTGCATACGTTCCTGGTCACTTTGTGTATTATAACTTTTAATCTTACAGTAATGCAAAACCTGTTACCCGCCATGCTGGACAGGTTAACCTTTTATCTTGAGCACAGATTGGACCCATTGTTATAATAACCAGATACGTTAAAGCCGTTGACTAAGTGTGCATGGGGGTTTGGCTGGGAACCAAGACCTCATGGTTTCTGGTGGACTCTGCCATGTGCTTGTGAAGCCCCTGGTGCTGCCCCCTGCTGTACAGAATGCTAACCAACAGCGTCTATCGTCTTCTGTCTTTCAGCTCCTGTGGAGAAGACATGGAGGCGAGTGACGGTGAGGGAGAGGAGGAAGTCTTGCCACCATCCAAGGTAATTAACCGTTCACGTGATTTACATTGACATACAGTGATGCACACGTCACTGTTGGGAATATCGTTAATTTATTTCTCTTCACTGGACACTTGTTGCATATTGTGCAGATTCAATATTTCACAAAACGGTGTGTTCAGCACACGCTTCATCTTCAGAGTTGCAACAAATGATGTTTGCATCATTGAATAACCTGTTGGTGTTTATTTCAGTTAGATGATTGATCATAAAGCATATTAAATGTAAAAAAAAAAAAATAGTAAAATCCTGACATGACATGGAAAATATTCTGTATTTTTTTGTTGGATAAATGACTTTTTGTTTTGCGATCCAAAACTAATTTTCCTATAAAGAGGATTTAATGTAATTACACCATTAGAGCACAAGTGGATGTATTGAATAAACATTGTAACAAACATGCATATCCAATACAGAGTCGGTAGATGTATTGCACATAAATAGTTTTAACTACAAAATGTACTAGCAAAATCACTACTCCACATGCCTTGTTATATGTAGATGGGTTAAAACCCATTTGCAGAGGAGATCTCTTGATTTAAATGGTTATGAAAAGTGTTTGTTGTGAAGCAGCTGAAATGTTAATAATAAATGTTGTTCTGCTCTCAGAGGATCACCATGATGGAGAGCAACATGATGTCCAGGTACACCTCAGAGTTCCTCGAGCTGGAGAAGATCGGCTGTGGAGAGTTTGGTGCCGTTTTCAAGTGCGTGAAAAGACTCGATGGCTGCATCTACGCCATCAAGAGATCGAAGAAACCTCTGGCAGGATCAATAGACGAGTAAGTTGACTTAATCACAACCTGAAACGGTCTTGCCGGAGATAATGTCTTTTTTTGGGAGGGCGGGGGGGGGGCGCTCGTTACCTGAAGTCTAGCGTGAAAGATGTCTATTCTGAGCCTTAAAACTTTCAGCCTCAATAATCAATATTATAGAGTACACAAAGTGCTCCTTTGCCTAATTGGATCTACAAGTTGGTATAAGTTGTTAATTAAACCGGTGTTTCCCCTCCTCCACAGACAGAACGCCCTGCGGGAGGTGTACGCCCACGCCGTGCTGGGCCAACACCCCCACGTGGTGCGCTACTACTCCGCCTGGGCCGAGGACGACCACATGCTCATCCAGAACGAGTACTGCAACGGCGGCACGCTCTCCGACGCCATCGCCGAGAACTACAGGCGGCTCAGTTACCTGACCGAGCTGGAGCTGAAAGACCTGCTGCTGCAGGTCACGCGGGGACTCAAGTACATCCACTCTACGTCTCTGGTGCACATGGACATCAAGCCCAGTGAGTACTTTGAGATGTGAAAGTTACACTAATGGTAGTCGCAATAGAGAATTCTGGACTTTAAATACTACAGATAACACTTCTATATTTGTGTATTTTAAACAACAGGATCTAGAGTATTATCAACATTTAGAGGTCAGAAACTAATGGAAATGTCAACCCCCTTATTTAAGGTAATATCTTTATTTCACGGAAGTCTGTATCCAGCTGTGATGAATGTGATGATGACGAGGGACTGACCACCAGCGTCGTCTACAAAATAGGTAAGCTGCTTCCACGTCTTCCTGTGTGATAACTTTGTTTTGTTTACTAATATTAATCGCTGTAAAGATGGTCATGGCTTTAATCTATTGATTGTTTTTCCTCTCCAGGTGATCTTGGTCATGTGACACGAGTGAACAACCCTCAAGTGGAGGAAGGTGACAGCAGATATCTGGCCAATGAAGTTTTACAAGAGGTTTGTCATCTTTCTCTTAAGAACTGCCTTTACTTTTAAACAGAGCTTCACAAAGGTGTTAACGTTTCTCCTCGTTGGTCTGGTTTCCTGTTTCGTAGGACTACAGTAAGTTGACCAAGGCGGACATCTTTGCTCTGGCTCTGACCGTCGTCAGCGCCTCTGGGGCGGAGCCTCTTCCCACCAACGGAGACAAATGGCACGAGATCCGAGAGGGAAAACTGCCCGCCATCCCACAAGTGCTTTCTCCAGAGTTTCTTAGTCTTCTCAAGGTAACGGACAACTCTCTGTGTCTTACTTCTATCAGTGCGTTCATGTTGAATCAGATCAGCTACGTGAACACTAGACATCCTCTGTCGGAGGGTGTCTGCATGTTGATAATTCCTTTCTAAATTTGTTCAATTTCTTTCAAAATAAAGGCCCTTAAGAAAATGTTTTTGAGACGACTTAATGCTGTTTTTTTTTTTTACTTGAATTGTTTATCTCTGCTATAAAACTGTAACTTAAGCTGTTTATAGCTAATTTAGCTGTGAGCATCATCAGTGCTGAGATAATGAGTTGAATTAATTAACTAAATCATTTCTATTGGGAGATGACTTTGTGTGCTTTCTTGTTGTCGCATCCTTGTTGAGCAGCTTTTTTACTGAATCTTTTATGTTTTCTCGTCTATCAGCTGATGATCCATCCCGATCCAAGTAGACGGCCATCAACATCTGAACTCATCAAACACCCGGTGCTCCTCACTGCTGCCAGAATGAGTGCCGATCAGCTCCGAGTCGAGCTCAACGCGGAGAAGTTCAAGAACGCGCTGCTCCAGAAGTAAGTATTCAACAACAAAGGCGGCGCTATTGAGCTCATTGTTGCTCATCAGTGGGTGGGACACTGTTTATTAGATAAACCTGTTTACGTGGTCAAAGTCTTCAGGTCTCAATCATAACCGTCTCCCTTTGTCTTCCTCAGGGAGCTGAAGAAGGCCCAGCAGGCTCGAGCTGCAGCCGAGGAGAAGGTTTTGTCCACCGACAGGATCCTGACCCGCTCCACAGTCCAGTCGAATCCCAGAACCTCCAGACTCATCGGCAAGAAGATGAACCGGTCGGTCAGCCTCACCATCTACTAATGCGTCAATCCACCCAGACAGGAAGTGAAACACGAAGGCTCATGGACCTATTTAATCAAAACCCATTCAGATTGAATTGGTCTCTTTACGTTTTTATTTTCAAAGTGAACACTCAGTCGTGGTGGAACTTGAACTCATCTCCATAAACTCTCATTGCCAACATGGTTCAGCCCTTCTTTTTTTTTTATCCAATGGACTTCTACTGTCATTCCTGAAAGGTAGTTACTTTACCTTTTTTTACACTTGGTCATTCCTTAAGATAAACGTCGGGCTCTATCACCATTTCTGTCCTTGCACTTCCTCTTCGACAAAGCCGAAGCCTGTTGGCAGCGGATCGGAGCCGCAGTGAAGCTCTCTTCAGTGTGAATGTACTTGCCGTGCGCACCTTACTGCCTGTCAAATGCCTGATGCTGGGTACCAGGGGGTCTGAGAACTGACAATTTCTGTGTTTGTATGGAGCACTTTGGAGGAAACACCTGGAACTTGCCACATTTTTTATTTTTTTTTTAAAGAGAAAAGGAAAACCTGCTGCTATTGATGTTTTGTGTGTATCGGGGTTTGGCCCATTTCAGGTTGGATCGTTCTGGAGGTCATTGGCTCTTATTTTAACGTAGCAGGAGTCTGTCGTCCCCCCCCCCGTTTAATGTCTATTCTTCTGGTTGGATGGAAAATAGATAATACCGTTTGAGCAAAAAATCATTCGTTTTGTTTTGAAGTACCAAAACCAGTGAGCGAACTCATTATCTGCGAGGTTAGAACTGATCCATAGTGTTTTAATTACCCTGTTGATAGGTGCTGCCAACCCTGCCTGTAGCATTAGAACAATCATCGTCCTGTTCTTTAGGTTCTCATGTGTTCTGTTATTTTATTTTTCCCACAATGCTAGTCTTCTATTTCTGGTTCGAACAGTTTTCCTCATTTTTTTTCTTTTTTCTTTTTTCTTGTAACCTCAAACACAAAACAACCTTTGTGTTGTTAACCTTGTACATATGTTCTTTTAATAAATTCTTACCATCTACACTTTGTGTACTGTTCACTGTGTGAATGTGTGTTGGAGGATCAAATCTGACATTGCAGTCACAATAAAATACATTCCAACATCTAAACATGTTGAAACTGGTTTTCTCCCAGTCTTGCTTTAACTGAACTTGGAATCTCTAACTAAAGTGTTGTAATGCTTACTGGATGCATGTACGGCATATTTACTTAAAGTGTAGCCACTGACAAAAATGTCATAGTATATTGTGCCAAAACGGTCATGAAAAAAATAAATAAAAGATATCATGAAATAGTCAGTGTATGCTGTTAAAAATGTTAAACACTCCTAGTTTAAAACATTCTATACTATGATTTTTATGACCTACAAAAAATGTCATAGTATGTTTTAATAAATGTATAGTATGGAGTGAAACGGTCATAGTAAAGATGTCATAAATATATCCTAGCATGTCACCAAAAATATAAAAAGTCATAGTGTAGCATGTCGTCAAAAAGGTTCTAGGGTGTGACTGGTGTGCAGTGATGTTAACAGCCCTGTTTGTAGTCATGTAATCCTGTGATGGAGGGTTTAAAACTGAATGTGACTTCACAGCTCCAGTGATCTGGTGATGGTCTGTGTGAAGATGAAGCCGAGCCGGTCAGACCAGACTTTAAGGCAGGAGGTTGACACACCATCTAGCCTTGGTACCTTCCTGATCTTCTGTCTGAGGGCAGAAGAGTATTATTTTAAAAAAATAATTCACACTATAGTTGGACAAATAAAACTTTCATAATCATTCCTAAAAATATCTAAAGTATAAAATGTCATAGAGTATGACATCAAACAAGTCATAGTATAGTATGTGGTAAAGAGTGTCATAAAAATATCAAATGTATATCATAAAAAAGTACAATAGAACAATACTTTAGAAGGTCATTAAACATGCATAGTGCGCCTTTAAAGAATTTCATAAAAATGTCATTGTATAAAATGCCAAAAAACAAATATTTCGTAAAGTAACTAAAGCTGTCTGTTGATTATAATTACAATAGTCAATCCAATAGTAAACACGTGTAATTTATCAAATGAATTATGGTCCCATTCTATTCCCTGTGAGCCAGCATGCACAATACCTAAATACTGAAATGGAACAAGGCCATATGTAAGTTTACCCTGCAATGACGGTCTATTTCCCTCTGAAATGTAGAAGAGTATAAAGTATAAAATGGCATAAAAAGACTTAATAAATGCTCAACCACTGGTGAACAGTTTTTATCTCAGCAAGAGTCCTCCAGCAAACACAAATCTAAATTCTTAGCATGAAAACACACACACGCGCGCACACACATACAAACAAACATCCCTCAGATGATTGTTTTTGGTGTTGGTGATGTTCTCTCACTGAGCGGTGCTGCAGCTCTTCAATCACAATCAACGCACGAAAAAAAAAAAAAAAAAAAGATACTCGCTGCACACGAAGTGTCACGTGACTTTTCCCTCATCGCGTCCGACAGAAAGTTGAGACCGAAGAGAGGAAGAGAAGAGTCTCGAGCACAAACCCACAGAAGAGAAGAGACCATGGCGCTGCGGGACGAGCTGTTGAAGTCCATCTGGCACGCGTTCACATCTCTGGATGTGGACAAAAGCGGGAAAGTCTCCAAATCTCAGCTGAAGGTAACTCCACTTTAATTTTTACGCGTGCGTTTCTGGGAGTCTGAGCTCGCGCTTGACCGAGCAGGAAACTCGGGTACTTGATACTTGGGTGTTTATTTGGTTGTTGTTGTTGTTGTTGTTGTTGTTATAAGCTACATTTAAAAACACCTCGGGTATTTTTCATGTTGAACGCTTTTATAAACTGGCACTGTGCTTCTGTTTGTGCGCCGACAGCAGCAGAGACGCACCTGTTTCTTGATTTATTAAAGGTAATCGTGCACAATAAACACAATAAACTAAACAAACATCTGTGGAGTATAAACCACAGATGGTTGAATGGACAGTTTATTGGAGTTCCGAAGTCATTGGAATGTTATTGTGTCTTTTTGACGTTAAAACGGTAAAAACATCATCAAAAACAGCCCCAGGAGAGCTAACGTGCCGCTAACAGAGATAATAGAAACCTTAGAGTAGGTTCAAGTCATGATTTATAGGATTTACAACCACATGATGGGATGAGCAGTGATGAAGCACTCAGATCCTTGACTTTAGTAAAAACACTAATACCACACTGTAAAAGTCCTGATTTGAAAGTATTACTTAAGTAAAAGTATGTAAGTATAATCAGGAAAATATACTTAATAATGTAACAAGTACTCAATGTAGAGAACTTGTCCCTGTGACTCTTCTATTGTTTATTATATCTTTAGATTATAACTACTTATGCAAAAGCAGGATTGGACTCTTTTTGTCCAACAAACAGTCCAAATCTCAACATTAATACAAATAAATGTAAATAACTAAAGCTGTCAAATAAATGTAGTGGAGTAAAATATTTCCCTCTGAAAATGTAGTGGAATAGGAGTAGAGAAGCACAGAAGTACCACAAATGTGTACTTAAGTACACTCTGAACAATCATCCCCATACAGCTCATCCGTGATCTGTGATTCCTCCACGTCAGAAAGTATTCTCAGCCTGGAAGCATGCTAATCGGAGCGTTGACTCGTATTCATATCGGATGATTTAACCGCTTAGTGGGGAAACTGGTGAAACGTTTTGTTCGTCAGGAGCAGATCGAGTCGGAGGAACGATGGTAAGAGAGTAAAACAAAAGTAAACGTTCCTGTGAATAACTCCACATGTGTACAAGCGGACACACCCACATATTTCCAGCTCTGTGTCAGACAGACATTGTTCAGCAGCAGTTCTTTTTAAAGGAATCAACAATAAAGGCCAAACGGCTGCCTCCGAATCTAAAGAGCAAAGGTTCATCTTTAGCTGGATCATTTTTCATCAACTCTGGACCAGTTTTTACACCAAATAGCCCAGAAAACCATGCAGCTCTAAGACAGGTTCCATGTGTTGAAAGAGGAGAAAGTCCTTCTTCTATTGCTTCTCTGAGTGCAACGTGTCGTCATTCTTGGAAATACAGGAAAGCACAAAATGCATCAACGATTGACAAAGTATTTCTGAATACTCTAAGGCTGAACTCTGATTTGATTATATATTTAAAATAGGTGCTCCTTCCATAAAGACGGACGATGCCACATGAAACCACGAGGTCACTGAACCCTGATGACTTCACACAAACACCTGCACTTTAGAAGAGAAGGAAATGATTTAGTTTTGCACTCGTTGAAAGCGGAGATGTTCTGACTTTTATTCACTAAGATGAGCTTTCTGTTAAACGACAGAGAAGACGTTCTACAACTTGTTTTCATGAGATATGTGGTTGGTGAACTGCCTCTTTAAGTCCTTTTGTTTATCGTAACCTAATAAATGTTTGTTCCAGCTTCTCAGATATGAGTACAGCTTTTATTTGTGTTATATGATGATAAACTCAATTATTATTAATTTGTTTTGCTGTTGGTCGGACAGAACAAGGCGTCACCTTGGTGTTTGGGACATTTTTGACTTTTTATTTCTGACATTTTATAATCAATTTATAGAGAAAATCATCTCCAGATTAATTTAAAAATCCCGAGGTTGAATACTTCGTCAAGTCTGAGAAAGCTACTCGAGTGACACCAGCCAGGTGTATCGAGTCAGAACTACAAACTATCAGAGGAAACCTGCATTACAGATGTTTAGCATTCAGCAGGAAGGGTGGGTTCAACATGAGATGCTGTTGAGTTGCATCATGGGAAGTGTGACTAAAAGAGAGGCGAGTATCTCATGAGAATGCTGGAGTTCTCTGAAGGTCTTCCTTATCTTCCTTTTCCTCAAAAACAACAAATGTATTCTTCTCAAGTATCTCAGTGTAAGTTATTCAGGCTGTTGGGTGAAGAGTAAAACATCACAGATGAGATCCTTTAGCTTCATATCATAATAAAGTAATCTATAATAGTAACACTTTATTAAGTAGTCCTTGTAGTCAAACATCTTCTGGTTCCAGATTATCAAATGTGAACGTTTGCTGTTATTTGAAGTTCTCACCTCAAACTCTTGAACATTGTTGGCATTTTCACTGTTTTGTAGATGAAATAATGAATAAATAAATCTAACTATTGACAGACTATTTATCTTAATCTATGATTATCATACCATCCCTCCAGGTGCTGTCCCACAACTTATGCACAGTGATGAAGATCCCACATGACCCGGTGGCTCTGGAGGAGCACTTCAAAGACGACGACGAGGGTCCCGTCTCCAACCAGGGCTACATGCCCTACCTGAACAAGTTCATCCTGGATAAGGTACGGAAACATTTAGGATGGTCCCCCCCACATGAGGAGATGCAGAAGTTTTCTTCTGTGGTTCCATTGATAGTCAATGGCTTGAGGGGTCAAAGGCAGGGGACAAATGTCCCAGATAAATAAAGTATAAAATTTGAGATATGAGGTTTGTACTCGGTTTATTATATTTGACAAACACAGCAGATTTCTCCGTATGAGGAAACAATAACGGTCCGTGGTTCTGACATGTGAGTCAGCGCTCTGACTCTTCATCTCTTTATAAGGAGAATGAGGCATGATCAGCAGAACAAAAACAGAAACTTGACAACAGGATTTAAAAAGGTGTGTGTGTGAGTGTGAGTGTGAGTGTGAGTGTGTGTGTGTGTGTGTGTGTGTGTGTGTGTGTGTGTGTGTGTGTGCACAGTATTCTTTATGAATTACAGAGGGCCGTGTGTTTATTAGTTGACACTACAATGGATCAGTTGAGGATCTTTTTTAGTAAAGCTACATAAACATGTTAAGTATGAAGTATCAGACCTGTGTCGGTGAAATGTGATTATGAGTAGTTGGTTAATCAATAATACTGCAAAGACTTACTTAACTTCCAGTTCAGGAATTTGATTGGTCATCGTCTTCTAAACTAATTCATGTGCACTACAGTATATCTGAACACCAGATTGGCTGCACGTGTTACATGTTAACCCTGTTTAAATGTTCTCTGTTAGTGGTGACGCAGCAAATCTTCATTGAAGACGCTGGAGACACTGATTGACGTGCAGTATTAGTTTATTGTGCTGGTGACCATCTCTATTGTGTCCGTCGGTCATTGTGCTCCGCTGAGCTCAAAACAGCAACGCATTGAGCTGCCTGTCCGTCCCTCTTTGATGATGTCACTGCATGAATGGTGGTTGTTTAGCCGGGAATCACGACAAGAATTCCTGCTGGCTGTTTGGAATACTTGTCGAATGATGTCATAACGTTGCAAAAATGAGCCATTGCTGAATGAAACAATAACGACATTGGCGGTAGTGTGGGGCGAGATTTATCTTAAACGATGATCGCGTGGACTGAGGGGAAAAAATACATTTTCAGAAATATCTGTATACGTGTAGACACGGCCTCAATCTTGAGTCCAGCTGTTTGTCAGCGATTGTTGTTTTAAAGAGGTTTTATGGTCATTCCATGATTATTATCATTAGTTAAATGTATTCTTTTTTTATTTGTTTGTTGATAGTTGGCATCAGTTACACATTTACAGATGTCCTTCAGACGATGTGCATGTTGTATACAGATCTTCAGATGATGCTTATTTTATGTTTACTCGTATAGAGTAAACGTGTTTGTTTTGGTGATGAGAGACCTGTTTTATGAGCTGTGGTACTTTTAAAGTGTCAGTTGTATAAAACCTTTATTTAATCAGGTCGTCTCAAAAGTTAAGACGACATTAAAGAGTTTATTTTTCTTGAAGTTTTAAAAGGCTCGTGGCGCCTTGTCATCATGACATCATGGTTTAGTTCTGTCTCGGTGTTTGATAAATCTGTTACACAGTAAGACTTTCCCTCAGAGAGATCTTAACAGTGCATTGTGTGAATTCCCCTTTTGGACTTTGTTAATGTCAAACACGCAGGCAGCTGCTGTCGAGTTCTCCTCGTTAATGGTGAAACTTTTTAACCAGAAATGATTCATCTGGCTTTTTTTTTTTTTTTTTTTTTTTCATTCAAGACTGAAAGACTCAGCAACTTCAGGGTTCATTTTTAATCTTTAAAGTTGCCTCATTAGTTCCTTGTTCTGAATCTTCAGACATGTCGGTAGATTCAAAGAAATTTGTATGACCTGTTTAACTGGCAACGACGTCACTTCTATGTGACGCAGTACGACACACTTTAACCCTTTAACATACCGTGTCCTCTCTTTGCTTTAAAGGTTGTTAAATTGTCTTGTCATTGTCACAGTTTTATATGTTCATTGAAGCTACATGATGGTTACTCTGAACAAAACACCCTAAGACCCAGATGTCTTGTGCCCCATTTTATACACATTTCCCCCAAAATTCAGCCGGGCATATTTAGTAATAATAATAGTTCTGTGGGTTTGAGATGAACTGCACATCGTTTCTGGGTCGTTGACATTTAAGAAGTTAAACTCTGCTCTTCACTGCTCTTTAAGGAAATGTAAATCCTGGATTTAGGTTTAGGACGTCACAGGCAGACATCAATCCCCCCCCCCCCCAAATCTTATGTACTTTTCCACACACACTCGCACACAACTATCCCACCCACCCATTGAAGTGGAGGTGACCGGCCGTGGGGAGAGAGAGAAGAGGGCGTCGGTCGTATATACAACTGCCCTCACTCCTGAGGAAACTCCACCCGGTCACACAAGGAAACTGTGTGTGTGTGTGTGTGTGTGTGTGTGTGTGTGTGTGTGTGATGTAACTAGATACCAAAAAGGCAGAACAACAGGAGTCTTATTTTACACATGAATGGAGTCAATAGTTTTTTTTTTTTTAACTTTTAAAAAACAGAAAAAAGTCGTGTGTGTGTGATACGGATGTTAAGTAAGCAGTGGTGGAATGTCATTAATGGAATATACTGTACAAAAGTACAACTTTGAGGTAGTTCTACTTTACTTGACTATTTGGCAGCTTTATATACTTCTACTCCACTATACCTCAGAGACAGTTATTGTACTTTTTACCCCTTCTTGTCCAGTGAAAACCACGAATCTGCAAATGGTGCGATTTTTTTTTTTTTTTTTTTTTAATTTGCTTTCTGACTGAAGGATGAAGTGTTTTCTTACGTGAGGAGAAAATCTTCCTACTTAAAGCAGGATTCAAGTAAAGGATCTGAATACTTCTTCCATCTCTGGAAGTAATGCTATTACACTGTGTGTGTGTGTGTGTGTGTGTGTGTGTGTGTGTGTGTGTGTGTGTGTGTGTGTCAGTGTCATCTTCACTCGTCAGTAACAACGCAGCAGAAAATAAGATGCATACCGCTGATATTTTACCTTATCTGAGGACACAGACGGTCACAGATGTGGCGTGATCGTGGAGCTTTAGTGACGAGGAACACTGAAGAATGTTGACTTGGCAGCAGTGAAGTTGAAGCTGACGACTCAGCACTTTGTGGTTCGCTGAGGCGTTGAAACAAGTGATCCTCTGTGACCCTGAAATACCAACGATCACTCATCACTGTGACCAGCTGCAGACCTGCTTCACTCAAACGTCACATTGTTGTGCTGGTGTTGTGGTTCTGATATTTATGATGCATTTCTGTCCTCTTCTTTTGTTTAATGTAAACAACTTGTAGTGAAAGTTGAAGGAACTGGTGACTTCAGTCTTGAGGCCAAGTTACAAGTCTTATTCTGACTCTGTGACTTAATAATGTTTCTACACAGCTGACAATAGCTTTGACTCTTTATAGGTCTAATAATGAGGAATTCAAGCAGTGTGGCTCCTTCAGTAACAAACTGTAAAACGAGTGATGTGGTATTTATCCAGAGAGTTGTAGTGTTTCTATAAGTAGATGATGATGTTGGATATTATTGGGAGGGAGGCAGAAAATCTCAAAGACAGATCGCTCAAAATGTAAACAAATTAAACCAAAACCTAACTGCTAGATACGACTAGAGTTAAGTGAGGAACATGTCGTCGTGTATCTCCGAAATGGGTTTTTCACGAGGTAATAAAAACAGTCCTGTTTCTGCTTTGTGACGACTCTCTTACTAGATAAAGTTATGTTTATGTAACATAAGAAATAATCCTTCAGTTTATCCTAAAAAAATAGGAGAAATAGAAAGATGGTTTCACTACATATACAGTTTTTGTAATTTAGGTGAACTGACCCTAAATTGAATAAGAAAAACACCAACACCTGCAGGTTGTTTTGGTAATTTTGTGCTTTGGAGCGATTAACAAATCTTTACTCATTTCCCCTTTTAAAACTTTCATTTAATATCATTTCTGAGTACCTGCCTCCCCTCATCACTGCTGGCAAATATATAATTAGCAACAAACACTTTTGATTTAACAGCTGATAGTCCAGTTCAACTGGTAACGAGCCCCTTTTTCATTGTCTTGCGGATTTTTCCAACCAAACATGTTTGTCTCCTTTTCAGTTTGAGTTCGTTTAGTTCTAGAGTTTCTGTGCGAGTTGTAAATGCCTCTGCAGGTTGCAGGACATAAAGCTGGAGCCTGAATCCTAATGAACATGCGGCATTGGTGCAGGAGGGGAGGCAGCACTGACAAGGCCCTCATTGTTTCAGTGTAGAGAGAGAGAGAGAGTGATGGAGGGAGTGATAGAGAGAGAGAGAGAGAGAGAGAGCCAGCGAGCCACAAGGACAAAGAAAAACAAGACGAGCATGACGCAGTAATGTAAGACGAAAAACAAACCTCACTGTCATCCTGCCAGCGTTTCTATTTCTCCGCAGTCAGTCAGCGCTGACTCATTCAAACCAGCAAGCAGCAGCCCTCCTCCTCCTCCTCCTCCTCACGTGAGACACACTGATGCTGCTGAGTAACGACAGGAGGACCCACTTTAGTTTGATTTGACTTGGTATCTAATGTCAGCGCTGTTTTTTAAAATAGTGTAAAACAGCAGCTTGGATTAATGTCAAAGTTTTAATTTGTCACCCCATCTAAGAACAATAAAGTTAAATCAAGTGTGAAGTAACGATGGATTCCAACGCCGTCGGAATAAAAGAGTCAACACTTCTTAAATCTCTCCTGCAGTATAATGAGCTCCTTAACTTCTGAATTTGGTCTTCACGCTACACTTGAACATGTTACTTTTAAAGCTGTGCTAATGATGTCTCGACCTGACTGACACCAAGTCCTTTTAAACTTTATCAGTAAATATGCAAACATCCTGCCCGTCACTGTATTGTTTGTATTTTATTCCGTGTGTTAATAGGTCAAAACGTAAAGACTTGTAGAGCAAGTTTTTGTGACTGATACAAAAACAATATTTTTTGTGTTCAGGCTGTTTCTGGGTGTGAACTTCTATAAAAACGCAGCGACCAGGTGACGGGTTGTAAGCATGCATCCAAGAGGAAGCTACAAAAATGGTGGATACAAGAACAAAAATATATATCGTGAGGCGAAGCACCAAATGGACAAAGCTCGTTCCAAAACTAGAGTGAATCTGAGGTTATGAGCACCGTTAGCCTTGTTGAGCCGAGGCCAACGTTCAACATTTGCGTTTACAAACAACCGACAAATCCTGCTCATTGTGCTGTCAAAGTGTCTTAAATCCTCATTTTTATGACTTAAGTCTGGTTCGAGTCCCTGTCTCAAGTTAACTGACTTCAGTGCACTTCTTTTAGTTTACCAGTTTACTAGCTAAACCTGATCCCATCTGATACAACTCACTTCTTATCAATCCGAGTCCTGAGTCGTTTCTAATATTTAGTAGACCCTTATTGAGAACCGGAACATGTCTCAATGCACATCTCAGCCACATTGTACGCTGTATTTACTTATATTTTGGGAATATATAGAAGTATTTTATTCTGCAGCAGTGATTTGAGTGCTGTGAAGATATAAATACATTCTAACTGATCATTCAAACTGTAACAGCTTCTCTTTAGGGAAAATTATTCAAAAGACTAAACTACAAACATTTATTTTAGGTAACATTCAACAGGAGAGGAGTTGTTTCGCAGAGTTCTGGGTGGAGAATCACTTTAAAAATCCTGCCCAGGTTTCCACACAGGCTCACTCTTAAACTAACACAAGAGAGAGTTACATCAGATCCTGCTTTAGAAAAGTTCACTCCAACGGCAGTTTGTTGACTTGAGCTGAACGTCTCTCTGCTCTCACACACACAGAATTCAGTCATGCAGTCATCTGTTCATTTATGACTGATAAAGACACACATGATAACCCTAACACACTATAAACACATGTAAATATCAGGACAATCAAAACATCAATTTCTGACTTGTGATTTTTACTTCATAGGATCAACATCAGAGCTTTAAGGTTTTTAGAAAACGACTAAATTACCTCGAGTGCACTTATGTTCAAAGAAAAAAAGTGATTATACATCACCCAAACTCATCAACATGCTTCAAGTGACTTATGAAGTGAGATGTCTAATTTTGACAAATAACATTTCACACATTTCTGTTTTTCTTATTGAGATTTCACTTAATACGAGTTAGAAATTCATTGCAAAGACCTTTTACTTCAATGTTTACGTAGTGTGGGAATACTGTTTTTTTTTTTGTTGGAGTAATAATAATAACAACAACCACATGATTGTTAATAATACTAATAGTGCACTCCTGATACCTTTACAACACCTTCTTAGCTTCAATTGAAATAAACTGTTGTTCATTACACAAGATAAAAGAGCAAATCCGGTAGATTTATCACTGATTGATGTTATTGCTGCTCTCATACATGACTCATCTGTTTATTACATAACATATTATTTTGTTATAATGTGTCCGTGTGGAGTAGAACACGTTGAGGTATGAAACCAGGTTCTGCATCACTGGCTGCTCAAACCACCATCGTTTCGACCGCAGTGGAGTTTTTTACAATGTGACGCTTGGTGAGTACAGTCTCAGATGGGTGGGAGCGTTGGGAGTTGTTTTGTTGTTGTTGTTTTTTTGCCGGTGGCTTGTTTGACGGGACGACCGCCAACCGGACGAGATGTGCTTCTCATCCACACGACTGCCAGGAGTCTCTATGGAGACGCTCCCGTTCACCGGCTCGAGGAGAACATTTCTCCTCCAGAGCAACCATTGTAGCTTTTCTTTTTATTTCAAGAGCTTTCCTCCCATTTCGCTCTGGAATTTGATCTCTAGAGATTTAAATTATTTTTCTGAAAGACATCCTTTCACATTTGTTCTGACAGTTTTGCATCGACAGAATTCGTGTCATCAATCTGGGAGGGTAAAATTTACCGTCAACGTATATAAATATAAAGGTGTGTTTATAGGGTCTTTACTGGTGGCTCAGCATGTGAACTTACACACTCTCTCACAGAAATCACAACATGTTTATTAAAAGTATATCTATATCTATCTGCCGCCTGTTTCTAATACACGAACATACAAATAATCTCTTCGGGATTAATAAAGTTCTGTGGTGCAGTGGTTCCCAAATTCAGGGTCATAAACCTGAGTGGTAGTTTGATGTATAACAATAACAAACAATTTAAACAGACAACAGACTTCTTTGCTTTTTTAAATTTAAATACTAAGTTACGGGTCTCTTAGAGACTATTTAAGTAAGCAGAATCCAAGACTCACATTTTTATGCTCACAACAAACTGGTGAGCTTCACTTTAAAGATTAAAAGCCAGTATGAAACTACTGACCAACATGTTCCACTGATGGAAACATTTGCAGCTCGTCGGTTTTGTATCCGACTCTTCTGCTCGTCCGTCCGTCTCGTCACAAACTTAAACTGCTTCCTAGAAAAACCAACTGACTCACCAGAGTTGTTGTTGTTGTTGTTGTCGTTCTGCCTCAGGTGACGGGTAACTTTGACCTTCACGACTTCAACAAAATGTGCTGGACGTTGAGCAACAGGAAGAATCTTGATCAAAGCCAGCTGCTCATCTCCACCGACGACGCCTTCAAGATCTGGTGCATCTTCAACTTCCTGTCCGAGGACCGATACCCGCTGACCGTCATCACTGAGGAGGTGAGACGTGAGAGGATGTTGGTATCAGAATCCAGTTTGCAGTGCTGGAATATAACCAAGTACCTTTTACTCAAGTACTGTGCTTAAGTATTCATTTCACTTGTACTTAAGAGTATTTTCTACTTCTACTCTACTTCTACTACATCTCAGAGGGAAATATTGAACTTTTACTTTTAACATTTATATGACAATCCTGGGAACAAATATTTAATAACTTATTTACTTTCACTGAAGTTTTTCAATGCAGGAGTATTCTTACAGTGTGGTATTAGTACTTTAACTTAAAGTAAAGGATCTGAATACTTCCTCCACCACTGCTATTTTGTGTCAAATAAAACCATTGGTGACACATTTAAAACCAAAAGTCATTTAGTTAAGAAAGCTCCACGTCCACCTCATACAGCAGTTTACGAACATGATCCAGGCCTTGAAGTCAGTGAAGAGCAGGTAAAACGAATCTGTAGCTTCGAATTATATTTCATCAAGTGAAAACATTTGAAGTTCTGCAGATTCTCAACTGTGAGAATGTGACCGAACATTTGATGTAAACGTAGCTGGATGTTGTTTTCCATAAAGTCTTGTTTTTAATGCTACCATTACTGAAGTTTGCAGTTTGTTCTCTGCTCGAAACACCAGAATATTTTTCCTCCAAACTCAAGAATTGTACGATTTTTAAAAACAATTCTGATCCTGAAACTGTTTTTTTTTTTTTTGCAGCAGGAAAGCTGATTTTAGGTCCAGATTTAAGGGTCCTAATTCATCCACTATCAACTGGGAATTAACTTCTGAACTCTGTGTTCTGTCTAATAAATCTTCCACTTTATTATACCATCTATTGCAACAGTAACAGACTACTTGATCGTTATATTGGAAAAGCACTTTGTCCAAAATGAGGGAAGTTATTAATGTAACTGTCCTCAGTAGAAGCAAATTAGCCAATATTTGTCGGTGTTAACTTCCACTCACAACTCATCTACGGACACCAACTGGGAGCTGGACTTTAGTCGCACTGTTCAGTGTTAGAAAACGCCTGTTGCTCAAGAGCAGAAAAGGAAGTTTCCAGCTTCCTGTTCTTTCACAAACGCTGGAGGATTTATTGTTGGGTACAACAAACATCAGAGCTGAATCACAGGAAGAAATGTAGATTTATGTGCTCCAATGAGCCCACGTAGAGATGACTAGTGGGAAAAACACAGGACGGGGACCGTTGTCTTCAATATAAATGAACCGCTTTAATGGTGTGTGTGTGTGCGTGCGTGCGTGCGCGCACTAACGTAGTGATTTGTCTCCGCTCACAGATTGAGTACTTCCTGCGTAAGCTGACGGATGCGATCGGGGGCAGCTGGGTGGAGGAGCGCTTCGAGGACTACAAGCTGCAGCTGAATATGAAGCAGCAGAGTCTGAACGCCTGGGAGCTCATCACCCTGGTGGGGTCGGGTCACTTCAGCAAGGGCATCGACCGCCAGGCGCTCTCCATGGGCGTCAACGAGGTCTACCAGGAGCTCATCGTGGACGTGCTCAAACAGGTGGGCGGCACACCTGCACAGAGGGAGGACCCGGTCACCGTGACTGAACGTCGGCTGAGCTCCATCTCCTCCGTTACTATTCCTGTCGAGCACATATGAAGTTTACAAAGATAACAGAGGCATCTATGTGCGACTGAAACAAGTGAACAAGAGCAGGCCTCTTATTTCTAGCCATCGTCAAACACTGTGCCTCTCTGTTATCTCAACTCAAAGGTTCACTTACTGGCTTCTTCCAGAGCTTTAAACCGCATCTTACGGTCTTCAGTCAATAGATGGGACCTGGTTCAGGTGGAATCATGTGTGAAGCTTTTGGTCACGTGATGATAAATGGTGGAAGATAATAACTTGTCTCCGTTTTCTGGCGTCATCATCCTAAAAAAAGAAAGACAGACAAACCCACTTAAAGTATTGGTTGACGCTTTGATTCGTAGCCGGTCACGCAGCGACACGTTTCAGTTTGCAGCTTCGTGTCACCACCTTCTATTGAAAATGATTTGTATCCTGTTGCTTTGTCGCTCGTAGTGTAAACGTAGTAAGACGGTGACGAGCAGCATCACATCAGCTGAGAAGTTTACATATTTTGTAAGAATAAAATGCACTTATAACAAAAATATCTTAATACACAAAAAGAAAATTTGCAAAAAGCTGTAAATTTAAGGAAAATATGTTTCATAAAACATCTAGACAAAATAGAAGAAATCGGAGCTAAAACTGCACTTTGCAATACATACAATATATGAAATAAGGAACTAAGAGTTTGCGGTCATGCGTCTGTGTATTTTCGTGTGAAAGACTGGAGTGAATGTGTTACTGTGGTCATATAGAGAAAAACAACGAAGAAAACATTCCTTATTGTCAAAGTGAGCTCAAGAAAGAGCACAAAGGTTTCGGATAGTTTGACTATAGAGCCAGTGGATCACATACAGTAGATGGATGTCGGCACTTCCCCAGTTTAGAGAAACAGACTAAACAATGTGCAGCAATATGAAATTTAGCCACCTAGAAAAATGTACGTATAGTTTATGCTATATTTAGAATATTTTCACCACTTTACTTTTCTTTCAGACAGCCCTTCTCTCTCTCTCTCTCTCTCTCTCTCTCTCTCTCTCTCTCTCTCTCTCTCTGTGTAGATATATGTGTCCTATATTACCGCCTAGCCTCATTCAACACACCTCACTCACCCATTATCCTGATCATAAGATGGACACACACACACACACACACATCCTTCTGCATCCACAGTTTTGCAGGATCTCTGTTTTTTAGGCTCTTCTACCCATCAGTCTAAACTCGTGTCGTACTCCTCAGTTTGCTTTTGTTCTCGTCTGTCTTTGTCCTACTTTGTTTAATCTCCTTGGCTGTTTACGTGTCCATGCACTTGTCTGCACTGGGAACTGCTGCCGTTATCTAAGCCACATTGTTGTGTTAGGTAGGTCTTACTTTTAGGAGGCTAAAACACAGCAGTTCATTGCTTTACTCCTGTACCTGTACTCCTGTCTGTTTCTCCTGAATCTATGTAGATAATACACCGACTATGGATACGTTCCTCGTAAAGTAAAGTTTAGAGTAGGTGTTGTGTTTAAATGACCTTGATTCATGTCGTCCTCTCTCTCTCTCTGCAGGGCTACATGATGAAGAAAGGTCACAAGAGGAAGAACTGGACGGAGCGCTGGTTCATGCTGAAGCCAAACTCCATCTCTTACTACGTCGGCGAGGACCTGGCAGATCAGAAAGGAGATATTTTACTGGACGGAAACTGCAGCGCGGAGGCAAGAACCTGCAGCTTTTTACGAAAACTCTCAGCCTGCTCGCCTTCATAGTGATCAATTTAATATGAGATGTCAGACATATAGCCTCTATCAATGTGTGTTTACAATCCTAAAGGCATCATTACAACCCTCCTACCCCCTTTTATTAAAAAAAGATCTTTCGTTATTTTATTTGCTATTTTTTTTAAATTAATTTACTTAATTTCTGACGGTAATGTTCATCTTTTTTACTATTTTATCACGTGACCTGTAATAATCAAGGAATATTACGTGCATCTGATACACAAATCGAGCTGGCGCTGCTTCATGAGTCAATCAAATCAAATGTGTTTAACACAGTACAGTGATGTTGGCTAACCAGGTATAATAATTAACTGGCTATCAATCACATTTTGGGTCAGATTAGGGGTTCGATTCCCATGTAAGGAGTTCAGTTAATAAAAGAGAAAAGTCCAGAGGATGGAAATATAATAATGTTTGTTTTTCAGTTTGCCGACTGCATTTCATTCTCTTTCTCGCTGATGAAGAAACCGTTACAAACACAAGACTGATTGTTGTGCTCTTCACGTTTGCTCCTGTGTTTTTTGTGTATTTATAAGCTGGTGTGATCTTTATCTGTTGTTGTTTCTCTGCAGCCGCTACCAGATAAAGACGGAAAGAAGTGTCTCTTCTTCATCAAGTCGTCACATAAGAGCTTTGAAATCAGCGCGTCGGACAAGAAGAGGAAGCACGAGTGGATTCTGGGTGAGTAGTAACGTCATTCCTCTTATTACTTATCATGTTTTTAATATTTCTATTGAGCCAAAGACGATTATACACAGTTTGTTTCCACAGCTCATTTTATTTATATGAAATATTAAAAAAATTATATTAATGTACATTCACAGATATAAAACTGTAAAAAAATAAGCAAATTAAAAAGAGAAAGGAAGTGTTTTCAAAATAGAATAAATAAATATTGACGAGGATTAGTTCTACCTTTATGAACAGACGTGATGTTTTGTTTTTCCCCCCAGCCATTCAGACCTGCGTGAGTCTGCTGCGTCAGGGCCGGCCGGCGCCGCACCGCGAGGCTCGGCAGAAGCGGCGGGAGCTTCGTCTGAAGCAGCAGGCCGAGCAGGAGGAACTGGAGCTCAGGATGAACGAGCTGCAGTTGGCCAATGAGGCGAAACAGCTGGAACTGGAGGACATGAGGAAGGTGAGGAGAAAAACAACACAACAACAACATCGCACACGTTAAATGTTCCGTCTGTGAATCCCGTCTGCTCAGGAAACGTCTGGTGCGAGATCAGTTCCTCTTTGTAGTATCCTGAATTAACAATAGCTCAGCGTGGAAGTGTTTCTCTGACTGGAGAAGGGCTGGAGGGATCCCTGATCACATGACGTGCTAAAAACTGAACCTGTGACAGATTCCCCTCAGTCTCTGGTGGACAGAGGAGACATGTTGATGCTTTTTCTTCGGGCCAAAATTAAAAATGAGCATCAGTTGTGCAGGATTATTTAAATGTCAAATATGTTTTATACAAAAGAGAAAACACTGACGTAAGAGACTCCGATTCAAGCCAAAACAAACATACAAAGATAAGAGCCTCGTAAAACATTCCACTCCGAGGCAAAACCAAACACACAGTTGGATCAGTAATTAAACTGGGAAGAGCGTATGAAACACAACATGTTAACGGGTCATTATAAACGGTATCCTGGTGTTTCAGCTGCACAGTAGTTACACCTACAGCGTTATCTACAGATGTCACCAGCAAACAAAAATAGAAAGGAAAGGTCGGTCCAGGAATTCACTGGAATGTGTTTGTAAATGAAGTTTGAGGGATTTCCCCCCCGTGGGAATTTCTACACCTGTAAGATAATTACTGAACTCAAAGCACACAACACGGGAAGCGGTCCAGGATTAAAGATTGAAGTGACCTGGAGGAGGAAGACATGTCGTTCTTTGTGTTTCAGTCTGTGTGTGTATTTAAGACACGCGTGTTCGTTTTTATAGATGACTCAGCTGTTTCTTGACACAAGATGAAGAACCTGAAACTTTGAGGAGGCGTTTCTGTCTGCTCTTGTTCTGTCACACGGACAGAAATCTAAACTTTGATTTGATTGAATCTCTTCAATTCAAACTGACTTTTAGGCTTCTGTGGAAAAACGTTCATTAGCAGGAGGGCAGTGCAGAGAGCTCTGGCAAAATAAACGGACTCAACTTCTCTCTGAATCACATTTCTGGTCGACGACTTTGTACCATATTTCTACCGTTTACCTTGTGATGAGATAAAACAATAACCGCCGTGATAAGTTTCTCTTCTTTATAATATTATAAAGCGTTGTGCAGCGTTTCCGTGTTAAGCATCATGATATCAGGTCAGTGATACTACAGTGTAAAAATACTCTGTTACAAGTAAAAGTCCTGCATTAAAAATCTCACTGTCTATATATAGATATCTATTTATAGTTATATTCATCAGTATTATCCTCATCGCTGCAGTTACAATGAGTACTGCTGATGTCATCACAACAAAAGCCTCGAAGCTGATTCAACGACATTCCTCGGCGGTAACGTCACACCTTTTAAACAACAAACTAAGAGTGATGTGTACTTTCTGTACAGAGCTCAAAAATGACAAACCGCTGGTTTCAGTCTCACACACACACACACACACACACACACACAGATCACCTAAAACCTCAGTACCAGCTCATGAATACTAATAGATCAGCTCCTTCTGATGAATAGTCTGTCGGCTGCAAACAGAGTAATGTGTATTGAACCAGGAAGGAGGCGGAGCAACACGTTAGTCTCCATTACACATGTTTTTCCAGTAAATCTCCCTCAACCTGATTCACACTCCTGTCTGACCGGTTGTGATTATGTGCATTCGCCAAATACTGATGACTAATGGCTGCTTCCTGTTAACACTGTCAACGGCTGTGAGGTTAACCCTTGAGCCTCACTTAAAATATATAACAATAAAAAGGAAGATATATATAGTTTTATGGCAGTGTTTTTGAGCCAGACATATTTGTCATCTAATGACATGAGAGCAATCTTTTTATGTGATGGTTAAAAGGACGTCAGGATTGAAACATACCATATCTTTACATTTTTAACTTCAACAATTCAGTTATCTGATATTTAGTAAACTAATAAAGGTTTAAATGCAGTTTTAAATGCAAAAGTATTTTCAGAGTGTTTTTTGGTTGAATCCCTCCCTTTTATTAGATACACCTACAAACTTTAAAGCAATTCAACACAACAGATCTGCCACAAATTCAACATTTAGGAAGATACTAATGTTCGTTTTTGTTGACACTGTCGGAGATGTTTAAATTCAACTGTGTGTTAACTACTGAGTTCATACTCCGTGGTGATGGTGTTGTACTGGACGCATTATATTGAAATGTGTTTCTGATTGCTCATGGTTCAATATGACTTGATTCATTATAAAGCATTCCTGTTCAACACCACAGCAAACTAAAACCTCATATAACCATAAAGTTGAATTAACACTTCTCTGACCGTATCGATCAAAACATTTTTATCTTTGTAAAAGTAGCAATTATGTTTGAGGGGCTTCATTAGATTGTCCAGCTGTCCCTAACAAATTGACCATTGACTGTTTTTAAAATATGGACGTATGCATGGTTCCGTTTCATAAATCTCAATAATTGTGAAGAATGCTACAAACACGAACCTCATTTACGCTCCAACAGTGACCCTGAAAAGATATAGATGCCCCTAATGACTCGTTTCCATATCAACACTGCTGCACTACTGTAGTCTTTAGACCGGTCATTAAACAGAACAAAGAGGAAGCTCAGTTTTGCCACATGTGATTATTTATAGCGCCATTATTATTAATAATTCATCACATGAACCATCACTGGCAGTAAAATCTCAATCATCGTTTCTACATGTCGGACACATACAACAAACTTTATAAAGTGCTTCATAATTAAGGATAAAACGAGCAGCAAAACAGGAAATAAATCACAATCAGAATCGGCTTTATTGGCTCCGGTTTCCACTCCGCTCTCAATGTACACACACTGTCTTACAATAAACAACAAAAGAATAAATAAATAAATAAATAATAAAGGGGTTCGTCTTCAATAAAGTTGAAATAGAAGTGATTAAAAACAACCAAGAACAAAACCCAAACGTTTCATTATTTAGATCCTCGTCACATCACTCATGTCCTGGTCTGAGGTTTGCCTCACGTGTGCACGCTCTCGCTGCATGTTCTGCTTTTATAGAGGGTGACACACACACACACACGAGTCAACATGAGGTTACAGCTCAACCACCCGTAAAACTTAACTTAATGACTAACTTCCCCTGTGGCATCTGCTTTAATGTACCAAACAATGGAGACAAGTTATTTTAACTTCTGTAAAAAAGAAAAAGTGGTGAAATAGAAATGATGTTTAACTGAAAGGCTCTGAGATCACAAAGTTCTGCTAAATGTTCCCCCGCACCTTTAAAAAGTGTTTTTAATGACAAAAGACGGAAGAAAAAAATACAGAACTCCCAAAAATAGGACAACTAAAAGAAGACAAACTGAGCTCACATTTAACTATTTAAAATATATAGAATACAAGTTAGGTGTACAAAGATTAACAGTTTGAAGAAGCGGTACTGAAGAGTCTGTGTGTACTTTAAGTTTATCTAGTAAATTAAGACATTGTAGTCGAGCCTTTAGTTTTTAGTCGCTTTATGTTTTGAGTGATTTAGATACTTTGCAGTTATACGTCAGTTAATAATGACAATGTGACACGTTGTATGCTGTTCATGCTTCGCGGTATCATTTTCCTTCCAGCTCAAAGATGCTTAGGACTCTTCGCCTCCCAACACTTCACTAACTTCCTTTTTGTTTCTCGTGGAGGTTCATCTGCTCCTTTTTGTCCGTTGAATACATTTTCACACTTGTTTGTGATGTTGACGGGTCAGTTGAACTTTCACCCTGCAGTCAAACCACATAATGTACTTCTCCATTGTAAACGCACAAAGGCACGTGTAGCGATGTCTGCCTCTGACTGTAACAGCAATATTTAAATATCACTGTTTTGGGGTGCATACCAACAGTCGACATCGTCTTTGCAGGTTAAAGCATGAATGAGTTGTGTATGAATGTGAAGATCAGGGGAGGATAGATCTCCTCTGATGAATATATAGAAGCAGAGTTTAAGTGGTTTGACTCGACAAAAATCCTTTAAATAGTTTCTGCTGCAAAAAAAACGATCAGACACAAATTTACAACAATTCATTACAATCTGTCGTCAGCTTATTGAGATGAAAATAACCTACGTTGGTTGTTTTATAGGATGCAATTATTGTTTTCAGGGCTAGAAGACAAAGAGATTCTTTACATTAAACTATTTTGTTGGAATAAGCCATCAGTTTTAGTTTACCTTTTTGAATTTCAGTTTTTCCTTTTTAAACCTGCATTTCTTAGAAAAAATATTTTAGCAGAGGCCACTACTTATGTTCACTCTCAATTCCTCTTTAGAGCTTGGATCTCTTTCTTTATTAAATAAAAGTATTACATTTAAATAACTATTTACATTTAATATCTGTAAACCACAGCTTGCTTCTTGGTCTTCAAACTAAAACAAAAAGATTAGTGTAATAAAGTGTAGTTCCCTCTCCATTTAAACTCCCTGTAACATGAGTTGAGATGTTTAACCTTCTTTATTTTCTATATTTCACATGAATTTAAGGGTGAAAACCTGTTTACAGAAAGTAAACTTTCATCTACTTGGAATAGCTGACCTTTTGTCTCTTTCGGCCAGGCTCTGGAGGAGGCGGCGACTAATGCAGCAGAAGAAGAACAAAGGCGCCTTCAGACCCAAACTGAACTCCAGGACCGCTACAAGATGGACCTGGAGAGAGAGAAAACGGTATGTCGTCACTCCTCGTCGTCTTCCACTGAGTCATTATGTCAGAACAAGTGGTGGAGCAAGAGCAACCTAAATACAGCTTCCTCTTTTTGTACAAGTACAATATTTTAAATGTAACATTTATCTACAGGCGTCAGATTAAATGAAATGTGAAAAAGATACTCGGGAGAACAACTTGAAATGGACTTAAAGTTAAGATGCACTACAGCTCAGAGTGATGCTGAAACAGCAGAAGTTATTATAAGTCGATGTCCTCAGTACACATTTAATAATTGAGTATGTGGTTAAGACATTTCTATGTAGCTTCATATTGACAGGCTTTGCTGCTTGAGTGTTGAGACGTGTGTTTGGTACATGTAAGCATCAAAAAGTCCTCTTCACTGCGTCTGATGATAACATCTGGACATGCTCAGTGCACAGCGTGGATGTGGTGTTCCAGTAGATGTTTATCTTCCACCAGTGACTTGGCTTTTTTTCATGAAAGGACTCGAGTGTGAAAACATTGCAATACAACCGAGCCTCGACACGTGTGTCTAATGCACATATCTGTACATACTAACGTTGGGTCGGCTGTGAGTCTTTGAAAACCTGATGTACTCCTTTTAAGACAACTTCTTAAATAGTTGATATTGACCTTTTAGATAAAGCCTTTCTCCGTGCATTTCCCGGTTCAACAGGTACGGAAGAAGATGGAGGAGCAGGTGGCCCAGAAGTCCACGGAGCTGGAGCAGTACCTGCAGCGGGTCCGAGAGCTGGAGGACATGTACCGTCAGCTGGAGGACGCTCTGGAGGACGAGAAGCGCGCCAGACAGGAGGAGGAGGCCGTCCGCAGGCTGCAGGCACGGTCAGTCAATACAGAGAGAAATTTATCACTAAGATGTGCACAAATATAATCGGCACCTGAGGAAAACAATAAGGGTTATTTTGGTGGAAATGAAATCTTCTACGCTGAAAGTATTCGTCTCTACTTTGGGCGCACAGAGCTTGAGGAAAGTAGTTGTTTTTATGTGGTTGTTAGCAAATAATATTAATGTGAGTATGTAAATACTAGTGACAGAGCAAACTAACGACCTAATATTAGCTGTGCAAATCAGTTGTTTAGAGAGACGACCCAGAATCCAAAAATAGCAGACAAAAGACCTGCTCTTCCTTCAGTGGTTTTCTTAAATGTGGTCACAGGAGGGACTTCAATGACGCCACAACTATTGTTTTGCCTTCACACTTGATAAAATAAAAAAAAACATTATTTATTGAATTGTGGCCTCTTGGTGCGCTCCAAAATTAGACAAGGACAGCGCCAGTTTGAGTCGGTGGTGCATGAGGTTTAACTGCATTTCAACACGGTAAAACTGCACATAATGCCCCAAGTTGACTAAGTACCATGCAAACCTACTGCTTTTTGTATTCAGCTTGTCGAAACTGAATACAAAAACCTGTGAAAATATATAAAATGAAGTTCATCACAGCATCTCCACCACCTGCTGCTGTTTGAGTATCAGCTGATAGAGATTCAACATCATACCTGCCACCTCATAACCTGCCTGAACTCTATTTAAAGACCAACTAACAGGCTGATGGTAAACCGCCACCATGGTCACCAGAAGATGCATCATTTTGCAGATGTAGCAAGCTGCTTGTTATCATCTAGTCAAAGTTGTCCACGTCAGATATGACATATTTTACGTCTAGTTTGTCATAGAGCCACATGTAAACAGACACGTGTAGATTCTGCTCCTGTTTAAATGAGTCTCGCACACAACCAGACATTCAGCTTCTACTTCCCTCTCTCCGCCACATTTCCTCCCTCTCTGCTGTCGTTTGCTTTCCACCTCACGTTTGACTGCTGTGCTGCCCAGTGTCCTTAAATCAAACCACCGGGTTAAAATGACAGCGACCGATCCATTATCATGAGATAATATAAGCCATTTACTGGATGCTTTCTTCCACACTTCGTACCATAACAAGGTCTTTTTCGGTTTAGGGAAGCAAAGGGCTGATTTGAGTCACATGTGAGACTGGAGACGAGAAACATTTCTTTTCTACCTTTTGTCAGCAGCACCACTGTAGTTCCTGTGTGCTATGTGCCACGGTGCTTGCCCGATTTTCTGTCAAGTTTTATAGTTGATGCAAGTCAAAAACCAAAACATCCATTAATCAAAGAATACAACAGTGGTCTTACATTGTGGTTATTTAAACCTCTGACTGCCTTTCTATATAATCCATCCATCCATCCATTTTTCTCCGCTTATCCGGGGTCGGGTCGCGGTGGCAACAGGCCAAGCAGGCTGACCCAGACTTCCCTCTCACCGGCAACATGTTCCAGCTCATTCTGGGGGATCCCGAGGCGTTCCCAGGCCAGCTGGGAGATGTAATCCCTCCAGCGTGTTCTGGGTCTTCCCCGGGGTCTCTTCCCAGTTGGACGTGCCTGGAAAACCTCCAGTGGGAGGCGTCCAGGAGGCATCCTAATTAGATGCCCGAACCACCTCAGCTGACCTTTCTATATAAAATGTGTTTAATTCAGAATACAAACAATGCAAATTACATTTATCTAGAAGTGAACTCTTACATTTACTTTAACCATCATCTTAAAAAGATAATTGCACTCTAGCACCACCTGCTGACACATCACCTCCACCTTACTGAACAACACATTAGTAGTTTTCATTTTATTACTTGGACTGTTGAACTTTTGCCCGACCTCTTTCACACCGTTTTGATTTAGATATTAGAGTTGTTATATACACACTTAGATTGTGTTGATGGTGGAAAGAGCAAAACATGTTTAAAAGTTTAAAAAGGAGGGAAATGAACGTACTAAACGCCTCATCATTCACATTGTTTTATGTGACACTGTAATGAAAGCTCAGACCAGCTGTAGATGAGAAACCAATGTACAGGACCATTGTACTGACCCACGTCTGTGTGGAGCAGGTTACTGGAGGAGGAGGCCACAAAGAGGGTCGAGTTGGAGGAGTTCCACCTGCGGCAGCAGCGCACCATCTCGGAGACGGAGGCCGAGAAACAGGAGCTGGAGAAGGAGCGTCTGGCCAAGGAGAGCGCCCTGCAGGCAGCCATGAAACAGCTGGATCAGCTGGAACAAGAGAGGCAGGGGGCGGTGGAGCAGTACCAGGTCAGCTGAGTGGTGGAGGTGTAGGGACCGGCAGGTCCACAAGAGCAATGTGGTTGTTTCTAAATCAATTTACAGTAAACTCTGTCACAGTATGGCTCAGGAGGAACCTGCAGGGACAAACCCTGAGTGAAAATAGTTATGTGCAGCTCCACCCCATCTATTATCTATCATCTCGTGTATAAAATGCCAATTGTTGGTTAAAGGAGCACTCCCAGATTATCGCCACTAGATCTCAAACTTTCCATCCAGCTCACGGTTTATGTTTGGGAACTCAACTTGTAACACAATCGGGGAGTGCATCTTTAACAAAGCACACGGTACAAATATTACATAAAGGGAAGAAAAGAAATGCCAAAGATTTATAAAACAGATTTTTCCACAGACTCATTTTCTTTCAGAACATTAACATAGCAGCAAACAACTGTTTGTTGAGGATGGCTTTACTCCACTATGAGCAGAGAATGAAGTTGTTTGTTTGAGCCGTTGTGCGTGACTTTTAGTGTATGGTTCTTCCAAGACCCCAATACATTGGTATTTAAAATAATTATTTAAAAAGCACTTATTAATACAGAAAACAATAATATGAAGTCATTCTAACATACACAGAAACTCCCCACCATTGACATTACTGTATTCAGGATTTTGTTCAGTGTTTTTGTAGTAATGAAGACATTTAGACTTTATATTCGTCTATATTTACATAAAGAGACTTCAGTTCTTCGTAGAGTAGTACCTTTCTCTACCACACGGTGTCACTGTTTGACTGCTGGATGATAGGCAGCTATTTAGACATGATGGTAAATCAAAACATTACATTTTTATTTACATTTGTTCCAGTACATACAGTATTTCAAAAAGATCTATGTTTAAATCAGAAATGAGGTTCTCAAACCCATTACCTGTTAACAACTTCTCTCTGTGTTTTCTTGTGTGAACAGATGGTGATGAAGAAGCTGGAAGACGCAACCAACAACACCAAGACCTGGAAGCACAAGGTGGCTGAACACGAGGGCATGTTACGGCTGATTCAACCAGGTAACAACAACAACACACTGACCACCGTTAGTACAGTCTGTCCTGTCTGTCCTGTCTTCAAGGGGCTGTTCAGTGGTGGGACTTGATTTTAGGGTTAGGGTTAGAATTAGGTTTAAATTAAAGTTATAATCCTTAAGATTTTCACTGTATCAAACTAGTGTCAGATTAACGTAAAGACGACAGCAGCACCAGGTGAAATATGTCCAGAGATTCAATGGTCATCCATTTAATGAACGTATTATCTCGATCATTATGCACAAAGTCAGTTTTAAAGTAGGACACGCTGTAAAAGAGAGCAGAGGAATCAGTGAACTGTATTTGGCATCAATGTTATTGAGGTTGACAGTTGCTCACTGAGAGAAACTAGTTAAAACTATCTCAAACAAACATGGAGGACCTCTGAGCACGAGTCTATCATTATCTGACTCTTACTACACTGTTACACTTGCAAAAGAATCAAATACTGTATAAACTAAATACAAGTGGTTACTTTAGGTACATTAATATATTTCCTTTCGCACCTTTAGTGCTTAAAGGTGTTACTATTAAAAGGTCTTTTCTTTTGTGAAACATATTTCGTCCACATATACGTATCTGCTCGAATTAGTTCTCCCCAAAGCTACAAACTCCTGCCATGAATAAATTGAATAGCGTCTTGGTCTCACTAATTTCCCAATAGAGTTGATTAGTTAATTGAGTAGAGGAGGAACAGCTTGGCTCGTGTTGAACCGGAGACTCTCTCAACTGTGGACAGTCTGCTCCCTCACACCCGAACAAACACGTGAAAAGGCTCGAGGGAGAAAACATAACGATGAGATATCTAAATTCTGCAGATATCTTTGGCTGGAGGCTTCATATTCAGAATGTTGTTGACTACAAAGTACAATGATGACTTTCATAGACATCCATATTGGTCCACATATTTTTGGAGGGAGACGGTTGAGTAGTTCTAAGTAGCTGCACACAGTTCACAGATCGTCTGATGTGAGTAAAATCATGCTCAGTTTAAACCTAAGAGGGTAAATGAAGCGTCAACAGGGCTGGGAGGGTTACTTTACAAATGTATTCCAATACAATTACTGTAAAAAGAGAATTAATCAGGAACATGATTACTTCTCTTTACCTCAATATTATATATGCAAATGAAGAGAAAAGAAAAATGCTGAAATCTGGCCATTATTTTGATTGTAAAGTAACAAAGGGGAACAACATGACGGTTCAGTGCAAGTTAAAATGCTGTTGTCATCCAAGGACCAGATTTTAACCTGGAGCAGCAGCGTTACCCACATAAACTAAGTAAAGATTAACAGACAAGCAAAATTCTTGGTTTGTCCTGTATTATGTTTTGAACCGATTCTCTCATTGTTACGCTCCTGGCAATAAGAAATAACCTTGATGAACTGGAAAGTGTGCAAAACATCCTGCTTAATGATAACTGGCACTGTTCTGTGATGCTGTTCCCCTTTTCTGATTTACACACAAAATAATGTTTCCATCCAACGAAAGCATTTCTTTCACTAACGTTACACGCCATTGTGTGAGACTCATGTCCTGAAGTATAACCCTTTATTCTAAAATTGTAATCCTGTTGATAATCCCCATTTTTACTAAATGTATTGGTATATATCTTTACGTGACGCCAATGTAATCCGTTGGAGTTTTCCCCAGGGAATGAGAGGGCCGCTGAGGGAAGTGGGGAACAATGTTAGCAATCCAACACACAGAAAGGAATAGGACAGTTACATTTTCCAGCCGCAAAAAGCAACACAAGGCGAAACAGCGTGCTTTGACTTGTTATTTACAATGCATTTATTTGAAATATTCAGACCTCTATGGTGAATCGTCTCTTGATTTGTCTCCCCTCCAGGTTCCAAGGGACAGCAGATGATCACCAATTGGGGTCCTGCAGCCTTTTCTGATGCAGAGCTCAGTCTGAGGCAGAAGAAATGGCAGGAGATGAAGAACCAGACGACCCAGGCCCAGTAGAGCCGCCGTTAGCCCTGAACCTTAAACATGTCTACGACTCAAAGAGAAAACGGGACAGGGGCTGCTGGGATATACTGTATGTGATACAGCATGTCTGAGTAGTGACTGGAAAATGTAACAGGCTAATATGAGGCATTTTATAATAAAGGGGCATTAAATAATCAATGACCTTTATCCCTTTTGTAGACAACCATAGATTAAAAGGAGCAGAACAGAAACTCCAGTCACGTTTTCACAATATAAGGATAAAGTTCACTAACTCTAGCAGGGATCCTACAAAAATACCAAGTGAAGAAATGATAACCAAGACACCAGCTGGAGTAATTAAAGCTTTGTTATTAATCGTCACGTCAGTCGCTTGGTCTTGTATGATTGAGACGCTAAAACTGTTTTGTTGGTAGTGTGTTCAAAGGGTTCTCTTTTCCAAAATGGTGTACAGGACGTAACATTTGGGTCATTAATATTGATCCATCAACCACCACAGATAAAGTATATTAAAGTAATTTGGGCTGCTGAGCAGGCAATATTAATTTCTCAGAAGTTAAGCATTAATCCAACATTTACCAAGTACTAATGATACACCAGTACAAACAACAGTACAATGGAACGTACAGGAACGGGATGAATTTTGAAAGATGACTCCATCAACTTTAGACCGTCTGGGCTTCTGTAGGAACACGGCTAAATTCAATCTGTTGACTTTACGATGTGCAGGTTATTACAAGTCACGAGTGGAACACCACTACCTTTATCATTTTGTCCTGACTGTGGATTTTGTATCTATGAAATGCACTACTTTTAACCAGAGTCAATGCCAACTGCTTGAGCATGTTTTAGGTTCATGTATTAAGTTGTAATATAAACGTGAGCTACTGAAACTGCTTCGAACTCTTCTCATTGCTGTGGCTGTATCCTTCTTGGGGAAAACGTTGGGACATTTCTACATGAAAATATAAATATAAGGGATTTCTGTACATATATTAACAATGATTTTTTTTGTTCTCCTCACTAAAGTTAGGCTGCATGAAGGCAGCATCAGTAACATCTGAGGATGACATGTAATGGAGTCCATGATGTCTAACAAACCTGTGTTTTATGTACGACTCACTAAACATTTTCTCATCATGAAGGTATCTTTTCCTCCGGTTTGTCCGGCCTAGAGTTCTATCCGTCTAAAGAACTGCCTCTTAAACATTTCCTGCTTGTAAATTACTGTCACAAATGGAGCATTTGGCCAAAATCTCACCCACAAACAAGAATGCTAACTGCAGAACATTTGTCCCGTGTGTTGTTGTGCTGTAACCATCAGTGCCTTTGATACTGTCGTGAGTGAACGTTGTGATTTCTATATTGTGTTTTTATATATAAATGTTAAAATCTAAAAGAGTAAAACACATCTTGAATAACTGGCTTCCTGCATTCACAGTTTTTTGTCTTTGTAAATGATGATCACAGACCAAACACTACAGTAGAAATGTAAAGCATTGCACAAACCAGCTACACTTCCTCCTCAACCTCGAACGTTCACCAGAGGGCGCTGGAGTGCCGCAAACCCCACAACACTACAGAGCGCGTTAAAGAAGTTCAGTATTTATGATGGCTGAAGACAACAGAGGCATTGATAGTAAATGTTTTAACGGACTCTTCTGGGGACATGATAGTTAAAGAGAAATGGTGACTCCTTTCCATGACTTCACTGTCTAGACCTTCCATTTTCCAAACAGAGCTGATCACTGTCTTCTGTCTGGCTACGACAGAGACATACTTACTACAATTGTAATAATGTGTCACTGAACTGTCATGTTTTTGTGATGTCTGGTTGATAAGAGACGTAAAGTACTTTGAGATCTGGGTCATACAGAGAAGTTCAATTAAGACACAATGAAACACAGGACACCGCAACTGTGAATAATGAGATAAACCTGGGTTGAACTCCCTTATTTATCAAACTATGTTGCGAGGTATTTCTAATGTATGAATGTATTTTACATTTTTTAATGTTTGATTTCATGAACACATTTTTTCATACAATAAGATTCCAAAATTCGAAACCTCAAATAAATGGACAAAGTTTTTCAATCAGCAACTATCTGAACGCTTGTGTCAACGAGAGAAGTGCCGAAATGATCAATTCATCAACCAGATTACACAGTTTGTATCCAACATATGCACATATACACACATATATATACACATATATACACATACACATATATACATATATATACATATATACACATGTATATATATATATATATACATATATACACATGTATATATATACATATATACACATGTATATATATATATATATACATATA